AAAGAAAATACTCTCTGTCCGAACTTCAACTAATTCGTCAATGATTTACTTTGAACTTGATCGTTATCCTATGAATCTATTAAGAAAAAAAAATTTAAATATTGGTTCAAGTTATTAACAACAGAAAACATTTTATTAAGATGTATTTTAAATGAAATGATGGATATTAATGATAAGTGGTTATGTGATATTAAGAATACTTTTATGATATTTGTTTGGGTTATATATGGGACAAATCATTTTATTTTATTCAGAAATCTGAAATCCATACTATTAAGACCAGATTAATTGATATATTTAAGCAAGAGTGTTATGAAAGCATATGCAGTTCATCTAGAACTTTTATCTATAGACATGTTATTAGTAAAAACTCTTTACCGTTTTATAAAACTAAATATATCAATTTTAATTTATGGAAAGAAATAAGTAGAATTAGATTATCAAGTCATAACTTACATATATGAAGAGGGCGATATAACAAAACTAAACGTGAAGACAGAGTATGTTTCTAATGTAATAAAGGGAGGTAACTAGTTACTATGAATTAATTTTCACTATTTCAGGGATTGGATATTGAGGATGAGTAAAATCGAAAAAAAAAAAAGAATTGACAATTCGATAAAAAACTGGGACTTTTCTTCCACAGGGCACACACAGCGTAGGCTTCGTCAGCTGCATCAACATTTCTTGATGTGTAGACCTTCTGCAGTGGCAACGTTGTTAATGAATATAAATTGGAACGTTTTTGCAAAGCCGGAAGTGCCACGGGTCAACATGTGCAAAAAGTCGAAAATCGGCCCCAGAAGGCGCATTTATGCATTGATTTTCTTCGAGTTTTCATTTTTACAATCTACCTGTAATTTCTGACCTGATAGCACTTGAAAAATTACGAAATTCGAAAATTCGTAGCTCACTTTTTTCGATCAAATTTTTCAATTTTTTTGCAACTTTTTTGTTTTTGCATCGATTGATCTGAAATTTTAAATGCAAAGAGACTTCACTAATGTTAATAATATGATACAGTCAAATTGTGTACGTCATTTTCGGTTTTAAACAGGAAAGCTACTGAATTTCAAATCTACTTCCGGTTGAATAACTTCCGGTTTAATTTATGTAGGTCAACAAAATTTAGCTGATCTTTAGCAAATAAAATTCTACAGCCGAAATTTAAATAAAATCCATTCGGAAAGTGATATTTTGGCCGCCATTTTGATTTTCCTCAAATGCGTCAAAATCTATTCCGAGATAACGGCTTATCCGATTTAGATGATTTTGGTGTCAAATGAAAGAACACAAAAAAAAATAACCTCCAAGAAGCCCGATTTTTGATTTTCGCTTTTGCTTTTTTGCAATTTTCCGTTGAATTTTCAAAGTTTAAAGAGAAGCTGACATGGATCTCAATATCGCTTATAAGACATTTTTTTT